CTGTCGAACCTCCATACCTTTGTCGCTTCACCCTCTCGGTAAACCGTAAGACATAACCCACAACTCGCCGTAATCGGCGAGTTGTGGGTAAGGTAATCTCTGAGTCTGACCAATAAATAGTCTTTACATCTTCATAACCTAGTTCTGCCTTGACCTTCGTAGTCAGTTTTGCTCCTAATTCAGCTGCACACAGTTCTAGCCTTGGCAACGTGACCTCCTTAATTGGTGCTATAATCGACTTTGAACAAAGAAGCCGTACTATCTGCCTTCCGTCTTGCAACATAGCCCTGAGATATATCACCGCTCCATATTCCTTCCCTGAAGCATCCACAAATGTATGAATGTCAACCTTCGTCGTCTTCTCTCCGTCGAACATATGTCTGGGTAGTTTGAAATCGTTTAAAAGTTTAAGATTTTCACGGAACGATAACCAATATGCGGTGGCAGCTCATCATCCCAAGCAATCTTATTCTTCCATAATTGTTGGATAAAAATCTTTGCTGCTGAGACTACAGGACCTGCAATTCCTAATGAGTCAAAGTCAAACAATCTTGCTGAATCGGAGGTGACCTTTCGCTTGGTAGCAACTTCACATTTATCCACACCACTCTTTAAACAGATCCTGTCTACCTGAGGAATCCATGTCAATCCTAGAACCTTAGTTGATGAATTGTCGAAGTTGAGGTCCACTTCTCTATCTTCGGGGGGAACTCCATGAAGGATTTTTAAGTGGTTAGTTTTTTCAGACACCTTGTAACCAGATAAGGGGCGCATGTTGTACCATATGTTAATGTATTTAACATGTAATGCTCAAGTTCCTTCGCGGTCCCTCCTGTCGACCACTACTTGTCTGTTCATCTTCTCAATATCTGTTGTAAACACAAATCGTGGAAGTCTGAGTCGCAACAACATTCCAAACAAATCGCCTTGAACCTTTGGGCCTGAATGCAACACGTTATTAAGTGACCATCCAGATGAGGACTTACAGGATGCATCGAACACGACTCTCAATTTAGTTGTGCTAGTATCTGGGCGAAGGACACAATGGTGTGGGATATAGTAGTGGCTGCCGCGCACCTCTCTCGATTGTATTTTTGTCATATGTCCCAGCTCTTCATACTCCTTCATAAATTTGACGTATTGCTCTCGAAGACTCGCATCCTTCGATAAGCGCCGCTCCAATGAGAAGAATCTGGACGTTGCAATATTGAGGGACTCGGATAGTTTATCTGCATCATCTGCAAATGGCAATCGTACAACAAAACGACCATCTTCATTGACTATTGCATTTTGGTGGAAGTGATTCTCACACCTTTCATCTGCTAGGGTAATTTTCTGGTCTTCGCCTACATCATCTTGTTCCCAAAACCTTTTTAATAATTCTTCCAATGCCCGATCATCTTCTCCGAATACTGCACACGTGGTTGTTTCTGATTTTGCATTGACCTTTCCACCAGCAATCCAGCCCAGTTTCGAGTTTTTCAATATCGGTAGCTCTTTGGACATACGAATCTCTTGTGACAAAATCAGATTGAAGTAAAATTCTGCTCCAAGCAGTACGTCTATTTTGCTTGTATTGTAACAGTATGGATCTGCTAATTTTATATTTTCCGGTATAGGCCATGATGACACGTCGATGTCTGTGCTTGGTTGTGGTGGAACTATGTTTGGTAACACAAACGCTATCAGCCGCGTCCGAAAACTGCTTGTTAGCGACTGAATCTCCACGTTTACTCTTTGATTATAATTCTTTGCTCTTCCACCAACACCTTCGATGCAGAGAGACGCTTCTATGGGCGCAATGCCCAACCTCTGCACTAATCGCTCTGATACGATGTTAATCTGTGAGCCGGAATCCAAAATAGCTTTAAACTCGCAAGACCTTCCGTTATTGGCCTTGATGGAAACCCAAGCGGTTGCTAGAAGGACATAGGACTGGTTCCTGTTTGCCGACGCCACTGTCTGTGGCTGTTGAGGTGACAGCACTGATGTACTGCCCCCTGCTGCATCTTTCATGGTGAAATGTAACAGGGTATTGCTTTTTGTTGGTGGTGTTTGATTTAAAACCTTCGGTGATGGTTGAGACTTTTTTGGCAAATGTAGAAATGTATTGTGTTTATTGCTACATATTTGGCAGTTGCCAGAAAAACAAGTTTTTGCTACATAGTCCGATTTGAAACAATTTACACACAATTTTTGTTGCTGTATCCATTTCAATCGCTCACCTTCTGTCATCGCCAAGAACTTCTTACAATGATAAATTGGATGGGAGTCGTTCTTGCATAGTTTACAACTCCTGTGATCCTCCACTGATATTACGGACGAAACAATTTTGATTGAACCCTTGTGAGTAGATGCCGCTTTTCCAATCGATTAAATTGACTCAAATTGTAGTTCCAAAAATGCAAAAAGCTCTTTCATAGTAGGAACTTCCTTCGGATTCGTCAGTGATTGCATGAATCGTATGTACAGCGCGTGATCCAATTTCTTTGTGATCAATTGAATCAATAGAGCTTCCAAAGACGTAGTGCCGATTTGAAGATTGTTGAGGGCTAGCATGCATTCCTTTGTAGTGCCATGCAGAGCCTTGATGGAAGCCGTTGATGAGGTTCCATTTGGTTGACTCAGAATCCGTTCTACTAGAGTGGAAACGAGAACTCGTTTATTGTTATAACGTTCTTGCAGAAACATCCATGCCGTTTTGTAATTATCCTCTGTCAAGGATAGATGGCTGATTAGTTTTCCAGCCTCGCCAGATAACTTGGGTTTGAGATACCACATTTTTTGAACACTTGGAAGAGACTGTTTGTCTACCATCTCCAAGAAAAGTTCATAGAACTGACGCCACTTCAAACAATCCCCATTGAATTGAGGAATTGATACCTTTGGTAGTGGGAGTGAACTGTGTGCTATAATGTCACTCCCCAGTTGAGGTGCAATGGTCACGGTTTCGCTACATTTGTCTTTCAAGACTGCTAGTTTTATTAAGTTGTCTTGTACCGAATCTTCCAGCAGATCGTAGTTTTCTTGACTCAATCCAATTTTCGATGGATCTTCAATCTGCTGCAATATTTCATCGTAGAGCTCCGTTATTTGATTCCATAGCTTCTTTATAGTATTTTCTTTGATGCTATAAAAATGCTTCGGCTGTTCCGCTTCGAGCGTGCCCAAGCCTTGCAAGTGACGACTAAGGGTACTCATTCGAGCATTTATCATTCTGGTAAGTCCATCAACACGGGAAGGTATTTTGTCTCCTGCCACAACTTCAGTCGATTTCTCTCTCAAGGTGGGAACAGGCTTGCAGACAGCAGTTTCTTCATTTCCGCGTCTACATATTCCATTGTTGAGCTGAACTTTCCTCCAATCGTTCTATATAGATTCCGAGCAATATACGGATCATCCTCTGACAAAGATGGATCATCGCGAATTCTGTTTTCTGCCTTCTCGAAACCCTGCCATAACAGCCTTAGTTTGCCCTTGTATAACTCTTCCGTTCTTCATTCAAAGGGGGCCTTCTTTATAGTAGAGACGAATTTTTCGAAATTAATGGCTCTTTCTTCCTGCTGAGAAATAAGCTCTTGGACGTTTGCCATTGCTGTCGGTTGATGTATTAGCGCGTTGCAGCAATTTCTTCCTGTTGTTGTATGATGATTAGTTACGGGCAATTTCCTCCTGTTGTTCTTCCAAAGCTCTAAAAGGGGGTTCCTGAAATTTTTTGTTGTTTGTCGGGGTCACCAAAAAATGATTATTTTTTTATTAATATTGATCTACGAGACACTTAAATCACGTAATCTTTGTAGTTTTACAATTTCTTGTAATCTACAAAGAATCTTTATTTTGTATTGAATATTTATACAATTTTTGAATTACTCTAAAATTAACTAAATATGTATAATCAGCATTATTCTTCAGCCCGTAACCCATGCATTGTGAAACAATTCGAGTTGTTTCTTTATTTGGGTTACAATAATTAAGTTTAGGTCAGTTAATTGCTGACAATAATAATGTGATGAAAAACAATAATTAAGTTTAGGTCAGTTATTTGCTGACAATAATAATGTGATGCAATAATAATAATATGACTAAATGATAATAACAATATGATTAAATGATAATATGATTAAATCAATCGCCCATGTGCTGCATTTCGAGTTTGCTCGAATGTGAAACATTTTCCCAAATTTGGTGTGCTCCATTCCGAATTCCCAAAAAAATATTGGGAATATAATTCGAGCACATATAGCCTTGTGGATTGAAAACGAAATGAGATCGTACGTGTTTTTCTGAGCACGTATAAGTTGGAAAAGAACGCTGAAGTAATATTTAACGTGTTTTTACAATATTTATTTAAAAAATACAGTATTTACATTAGTTTTCATAGTAAAATTAAAGAAAATAAAAAGGGATCCTTTTATCAAAAACAGCGCGTAACATTTTTTGAGATCAATCTGGCAACTCAACCACCATATTATCAAAATAAAAATAGAATCTATAAAAAATCTACTTTTATGATTTCCAATAGTCCTTTTAATAATGTTTCTTGCAGATTTGTGCACTTTATTATATCGATGTTGCTCCACTTGTTTATAGGGCGTCAAAAACCACTGTTCCTAGAGCCAACTATTTTGCATGCCATTTTCTCTTTTGTTAATGCTGCCAAGCTGCACTCATATGCCAAATAAAAGCATCATGGCTGGATCCTGGTCTGCAGCTGTCCACAGCTTGCACACACCTTGTCATCCAGGACTTTCATTACCCTCGACAATATTTTACACATTGTTGTGAGATCAACACTTATAATTAAATCATTTGCCATTTGCTTAAGGTACCTGCTAACTGGAGGCTTTCGGGAATGGCACCCTTGTGTATGAAATGACCCACTTAATTTCATTTATTTCATACAATGTAATATAAAAAAATATCCATAAACGCTTATTGTAACACGTTCCAGAATCATTAGACTTTTTCTGGTAGAAACCAGGGCAATTAATAAGCCAGCAGACATATTTTTTCTTAATTTTGTTGGTAAACAAATTGCAAATTCCAATGAAACATATGTTTTTTTATTCAACACATTTCGTAACATATTGAACACAGCTATGCTTTCGAGCCGCACTTTCGCTCGAAATTGAGCACACCATTCTGCACAACATGGGAATTTAAAAAAGTATGGGAATTCAAAAACTCTCGGAACATGTCACATGGGCGAATATGTTCTTTTTGAACACCGTTTGTAACTCATCAAAATATTCATTTCCGACCCTATAAAGTATATATATTCTTGATCAGGGTAAAATTCTAAGACGATCTAACCATGTCCGTCCGTCCGAAGGAATTGAGATAGGGTGCTGAAATTTTGCATAGGTTTGTCTTTTGTCTGCAGGCAGGTCAAGTTCGAAGATGGGATATATCGGTCTACGTTTAGGCATAGCTCCCATATAACAGTACCCCCAAATTTTCGGTATTTTGGGGTTCTTGAGCGCGTTTTCCATCCGAATATGCTGAAATTTTGTGAATTGGGTTGTTTTTGGGTACTTAATGTCTCCACTAAAAATTATAAATATAGGTCCACTTTTTCTGATAGCCCCCATATAACGGTACCTCCTAATTTTAAGTATTTTGACTGTTTTTTGTACTTTTCCACCGTATTAAGTATTTTGAGTTCTTAATAGGTACCAAATCTCTCCACCAAAAATTATAAATATAGGTTAATTTTTTCGGATAGCCTCCATATATGGGTACCCCCAAATTTCTGTATTTTGGGGTTCTTGAGTGCGTTTTTCAACCGAATTCACTGAAATTTGGTACATTGGGTTCCTATTGGGTACTAAATGTCCCCACAAAAAATAATAAATATAGGTCTACTTTTTCTGGTAGTCCCATATAACGGTACCCCCTAATTTTCAGTATTTTGGGGGTCTTGAGCGCATTTTTCAGCCGAATTCGCTGCAATTTGGTAATTTGTAGTCGTATATGGTAAAACATTTTTTTAGAAATGCCGATATAGGTCCACTTTTTGGTATGTTCCCTATATTTTCATTTCTAGTACCTGGCAATATATCTATGGTGGAGGGTATCCAAAGTTCGGCCCGGCCGAACTTACCGCTTTTTCACTTGTTTATATTAAAATCGTTATCTTATTTGTTCCGTGTTTTGGGTTTTGTTCTAAGACTCTGTTGTAATCTTTTCACCTGCGTAGGATAACGAGCTAAAAAACTAGAACGTAAGGTTCGATAATGAACTATATATATGAACTATAACCGCATTTAGACTTAGCCCCTGTGCGGGAGGTACCAGAAGGAGTGGGCCGATGTTCCCAATCTTCGAAATTGAACTAAGTTTGGAAGAAATATGATGGAAGAAAATATAATTTTCTGAAACGGATTTTGTCCAAAGAAAGATGGGGTCTAAAACAAATATATTTCGACGAGGCACATTTTCACCGTGTCAAAGTGTATACACCCTCATTAGCCATATGGCCGAGGGTATAGAGTAACTTCGGGTAATGTGGACCACCATTTTCTTTTTTTGATATTGTGGGCGTACCAACGGTAAAAACTGAAAACAAATTGTTTTCACAACATAGTAGATTTGTTGGCTAAATATATTCCAGATCAAAAATTATATATATTTGTCTATAAAAATATTATTGCATTATATTTCAAAAAACTCTAAGCTGCAAATAAAAATAACTTAAGTATTTTGAGTTCTTAATAGGTACCAAATCTCTCCACCAAAAATTATAAATATAGGTTAATTTTTTCGGATAGCCTCCATATATGGGTACCCCCAAATTTCTGTATTTTGGGGTTCTTGAGTGCGTTTTTCAACCGAATTCACTGAAATTTGGTACATTGGGTTCCTATTGGGTACTAAATGTCCCCACAAAAAATAATAAATATAGGTCTACTTTTTCTGGTAGTCCCATATAACGGTACCCCCTAATTTTCAGTATTTTGGGGGTCTTGAGCGCATTTTTCAGCCGAATTCGCTGCAATTTGGTAATTTGTAGTCGT